GAAATCACTTCCCACATCCAACTGCTGAGGCAGTCTCTGTGTCCAGCCAGCATCTGAAAACTCAAAGCCCATCCAGTAGCCAGCTGCCATGGACACGTGTTATTCCAACTGTGCTTGCCCCCCCCTCCTCCTGGCTGCTGCTCCCACCACTTTCTGTGCATCAGCACTGGCATGGCATCTCATCCCAGGATGCAGCCTGGGAAAGTTAAGCCATCAGAAATGTAACCCTGCCAAGGAAATAAAGCAGCCAGTTTTACACATTTGTTCACCTTAGATGCACTAGAGTTCGATGAAAACTTATTCATGAGGAAAGGAAGACAAAACTCCCCTTCCAGAAGCAAGTAGCCATTAGAGAACATTAATTCTGCTGAAACACTTCAGTGGGGCTGGAGCAAACAGTAAGTGTGTTTGGGGAATTAAAATCAGAAAACTATTCTTTAAAAAAGCGTGGCTTGAAATTTGAAGTAATATGCCCTAATTAAAGAACAGGCTGCAGGGTGTTAACTGCAGAATAGCATCGCAACAGGCTACTGGGCACTACTCCGTGTTATGTGAAAAGTTACAAGGAACTATAAAATTATGAACTTGATAAAGAACAAAGTGTGGGTGGAGAGAAACATGCAGCTGCTTGCCCCTTACAACACTGAGAACTCCAGCTGCTCATCAGTAGCGAATGCCTATGGTCCCCGCCAAGCCAGGGGCAGGCAGCCCGCTGTCAGGCTCCCCAAGCACTTCAGTCTCCCTGCCAAGCAATTAACAACCATCATCTACCAAACACAGAAAAACAAGCAGCTCCCTGGGAATGCTTACTGCACCAAGACAGAAATATAAAGAACCCAAAGCTGGACACTTTGCAAGAATTCAAGTGCTTCCTGCTTTTGACCTGGTTGGGGGAAAAAAAAAAAAAAGAAAGAAAGGAAAAAGAATAGCCCCAAAGAGCCTGATTTAAGTACATTTAAGGCCTTTCTGTGAAATCGTTCAAGGAACCTTCTTGTCCAGTCTTGTTTAAGTCTACCAGCTTTTATATCTTGTCCATAAGACACAAGAAAGATATCATCGTTTCACACTAACTCATCAGTTCATTATCATCTTTATGGAAGGAAAGCAAATACAAGTTGTCTGGAATCCAAATGGGGAAAAATCTTAGCCCTAAATTGTCAGAGATGACCACATTTCAGGAAGAAAAGAAAATGTATAATAGCTAGAGGTTTGTGCAACACATCTGAAGGATGTGCAACATTTCACTTCATAGACATTGTGAAAATGAAAACATTTGAAGGCCCCAGGATAGGAAAAAAAAAAAGACTGCTGAAACCCAAACCACAGCTACCCCAGAGTGAGACAGCCTCCCACCAAGAGAAGAAAGTTTTGTACCCTCCATGGAGTTCTGTTCTGTGTGAGTGAGTTGAACTGGCTTGTGGATGAGACCAAAAGTCTGGGAAAGCCCTAGTAAGGGACTGGGCAACCTTTTGGCAGCAAATGCCCACTGGATCACTCAAGCAGTTCACAGAACTGCAGCCCAACAAAATGTTGCTGGCTTCTATGCAGTATTTACTGTTTTCCTTACAGCTTCAGGTTTTGGCATCAGAAGAAAGAGAATAAAAATATTCATTAAAAGAGGCGGATGCCTTGCATGTTGGGAAGAAAGTTTTCCAAAACAGCAAATAAAATCTATGAAATTACTCCTAAAACATAATATTTGTTTAAGGCTAAACATTTCATTTCTTTTATAATACAATGTTTGGATATATTCCAGTCCCTCGCTACCTTACGTGACTGAACCCAGCTGTTACCTCCCCTTTTCTTTCTTTCTCTCTTTCTCTCTTTCTTTCTTTTTGTTAAATGTCAGGTCATGATTGTAAGGGATTTTTCACAAGCAACCAAATACCCTCACAGAGTGTTAAATATTTTATGGCAAGCTAAAGGAAATATTGCGTTTCCTGACTACCTAATCCTCCTCAAGGTCATTGCCTGTCAAACTGTAAGGAACACAGAAGCACTAAATTTCCGAACTCCTAGTGTTCAAAGAATTTCATTCTTTTGTTTTGTAATAACTATAAACCCAGGGCAGTGGGGGAGAGATGGGGATGAGGAGCATTCCGTAACTGTTTTCAATTTTCAGTAAAGACTCAACAAATTCACTGGGTTTGTAAGCACTGATATAAACCATTAGACTGTCTGTTTATATAGCACCTACCATGCAAAAGACTAACATAAGACTTGGACTGCTGCAGTCACAAAACAAAGCCTAGTGATAGTACTAATGAAAACACTTAAGTCTCTGTTGGATCACAAGACTTCTGGGTCACAGTATCATTAAACCTCTCAAAATGGCATTGCTTGAAATCAGTTTCTCCAGTGATGCTTTCCACCTGCAAGGAATATTACTACCAAAAAAAAAAATTAAAATTCTAGAGTTCCAGTCTTCAAAAAATATCAACGCTCTTTTCTACATGTTTTCCATACTTGTTACAGACCTTCAGTACTTTGGAAAACTGCTATGCTCAGACACCTGGACACACTCTCAATCACACATTGATAGCAATGATTAAAATGCCATGCGAATTTATACTTTCCAATAGGCACCGTCCCTTCAGGAGCGCTATTCCCCTCTTACCCAGTCCCCAGCAGTCTGCACTGGAAGGATTTCACAGTATCACAGTATCACAGTATGCTGGAGATTGGAAGGGATTTGCCAGAGCCTTGTTACACAGGAATGTTCCAGGCGGGCTTTGAATGTCTGGACTCCACAACCTCCCTGGGGTCACCCTCACTGAGAAGAAGCCAAGTTTAAGTGGAACCTCTTGTGTTCCTTGCACCCGTTACTCCTTGTCCTATCATTGTTTGCCACTGAGTAGAGCCTGGCTCCTCTCTGACACTCCCCCTTTATATATTTATAGACACTTATAAGGTCACCCCTCAGTCTCCTCTTCTCTAAACTATAAAGACCCAGCTCCCTCAGTCTTTCCTCATAAGGGAGATGCTCCACTCCCTTAATCATCTTGGTTGCCCTGCGCTGGACTCTCTCCAGCAGCTCCCTGTCCTTCTTGAACTGAGGGGCCCAGAACTGGACACAATATTCCAGATGGGGTCTCACCACGGCAGAGTAGAGGGGAAGGAGGACCTCTCTCGACCTACTAACCACCGCCCTTCTAATGCATTTCCTTCTGTTTTGGACTCATGGCAGCCAGTGCTTCAGTAAGCAACTCTCTACTTTTCTCACGTACTATTTAGGAGTGTCCAGCGATATTTGTTAGCTCCATTTCAAATCAACACAGACTGGAACTACGTACTGTGACCTTTTCTAAGCCTACTGTCTGTATATCCATAAGTCTCCTAAAGTCTCCTAAAACATTTTGAGAAGGTGACATTAGGAGATACCTATATGCTATTCCACAGACTGGTAGAATCTCACCTCTTCTTACCCTTCAAGCCAAGTATTTCTGCCATAGTCTACTCCTGTATTAACTGCTTTCATACAGCTTCTAACTGGAGTCTGGGAAATATACTGACTGGAAAATAACATGACAGTGTAACCTATGTCACCTTAAAGCACATACAAATATATTTGTACTTTACATATTTGATCTCAAAAAAACCCAAAGATCACACCTTCACCAATATATTTAGCATTCAGAATGCACCATTATATATAAGTATACTGGAGACCTCTGCAAACTGAAATAATGCAAAGCAAGCCAAAGGGCAAGAGGGAAGATGAGTTGTAATACCAAAAATAGTACCACATTGAGCTTCCTGAAAATTCATGGGAGTTTGATGTTACATTTACAGGAAAAGAATATGTATTACAGATCCTAGAAAACAGCTCTTAAGAGCTAGATCAATGAAAAAAAGTTTCCCACATCCACATGTGATTCAGGATACAGCAAAATGGTATATAAAGAGTGGGAAGAAAAGCAAAATCCTATCCTTCTGGTTGATTATCAAAAGCTAAGGGGAAGGGCAATTTCAAACTTGATCATAAAAAAGATAAGAAGCCAAAAGAACTATTTTAAAACAAGTATCTTTTGTACCCAAGAAAAAAATCAGGTGCTCACAAGTACTAAGGTCAGGAGAGCTGAGGTAGAGCTATTTGCATGCATCTGCTCCAAATTTCTCTAGCAAATCTCTCACACTCACTCAGCCAGTGACTCCCTTCCCTCTTATTAGTCCCAGAGAGCTTTCCAGAGGAAGTCCATCATTCTGAATCTAAGCCTTCCACAGGTCTGTTTCAATCACTTCTCAGTGGAAAACTTAATTCAGAGTATTTACTATCGTATACTAATCTGTTCAGGATGGGTAAGTCTTAGCTTAATTTACCCAAGTTGAACTTTTCTCAGAACTAAAAAATACGCTCAAGTAAAACAGTACTTTTAACAGTATCCTTAAAAAGCCAGTTACAAGGATATTTCTAATGGCAAAAATCCAAATCTTTCACTGGATGGTGCAATAAAAGAAAACATTCTTTAATTCTGGAAGCTAATTCTGTACATTAAATGTAGTGTCAGCATCAGTTAAATGGATTATTGCAACAATAAAGCTGACTGTAAGTCAGAAGTGTGCACCCACTTCCTAAAACTATGAGAGATGTAATTCTTAGGGGCAATGCTTACTTCTGTCAGTGTCCTAGAGAAACCTTGCAGCTACAAACAGCTCAATAAGCCAGGAATAGAAAACACTTATAAACAACACAAAACTGATTTGCTTTTAAGAAAGTCTCAATTTGGTGAAAGCAGAGGCAAAATGAGCCAAAAGTAGTAGAGTTCTCGGTGGAGCAGATGTATCAGGCAAGCGGCTCAAGAGACTTCAAGCTAATTTACTGAGAATAGGAGGAAAAAAGCACCACAGCATTGCAGCTGTATTGCATCACAAAGCAGCTGGATGTTCACAGATTTATTTGCTTCAGACTAAAAAGTTTAACTCTTGGGGGCTCTGGACACAAACATCCCCCAGGTTTTGAAGAGATTAAGGCTTAACAGAAGCATCCCATTCAATCTTACCTGTTTCAGAAGTCATTGTTTATAAATATAATCCAGTACCACTGCCCGAGGAATTGATTTCACAATGGTGATAACCCTATGACAGGCTCACGTATGTCCTATTTACAACACCTCTAAGTTGCCAGACAGGACTTCTCACCAGATGTTTAGTATATGCCGACAGTTTACATGCTGAGTCTTTCACTTACTCTATGTTCCTCCTCTTTGAAGGAAAGCCTGTTTTGAGAGGAAAAACATAACCATGCAAACCAGTCCGCTCAGAGAAATGACTGAAGTCTGTTCACTATTAAAGAGGAAAAACAAAGAAATCTGCTTACGTAACCTACAAACTGCTGGAGAAAGGAGGAGGAGGAGGGACTACTGTAAGTTGTTTTGTCTAATGCCTCTGCTGCTATGAAAGTTTTGTCACTATTGAAATCAAACCAGTATCAAGGTTAAAGGACAAGTTAGTAAATTTCTCTAGTTGGTACTTTGTTCTATTCTGCCTTTGTACTGCACATTGCTCTAAATTTTTCTCACTGCATAATCTCTATTTAAATTTTTGCCTAGAATTAAGTAAATACGTGACACAGGATACCGGAGCAGTTATCAAAAAAGTCTACATTAAAGAACTGCCATGATAACATTAGCAAATTTGATAAAGATTAAAATTCACTAGAATAATTTAAAATCTATTTTTGAATGGCATAAACTACGTATTGTACTCCAGGGTAGAAAACAGAGCTATTAGAGTGAATTCTGAACTGTGAAAATGCACATTTTTGAGAAGATTAACTGAAAAGAAAAATTACCGCAAGTAACTTTCTTTCACTGTTCACAGCTCTCACACCACGTGATCCCCGGCTGGCATGCCTTCATCCCAGCAGGAGAAAGAAATCCAGCCCTGTCAGTTCGGATAATATGAATCAGAATGTAGCAGCCAGCTTGTCATTCACTGCAGCTGAGGTCATTTTCAACCCCTGCATTGGTCCAAACCACAGCTCCTTACAGCCCTTTCCACCACCGGCCATGCGTGGTCCTCATATTCAAGGCTATGTAGAAGCACAGCACTGCAGAGCTGCTTTGAAGTACAAGTACCAAGGGTTACAGGGAACACACTTGCAAAACAATCCTTTGTTACGAATATCTGTTTTTCACTGAGCAGACAGCCCTCTGGAATAGGGCAGCTAATGACTTCCTTTCTACTACAGATGTTGAACAGAAATGGTATTGCCAAAAACAGTAAAAACAACTATTTTCCTCCAGTTATTTCAACACTTTGCTGTGTTTTTCTTCTTGAGATGAGCAGATGCAAGTTTTACACATATGGATTTGAGATCTAAATGGAACCCATTTTTTAGCCTGTCGACCAAGATTTGCACATGCTATTTTTTTGTTCTGAGTATTTATTTTTAAACTGCTGGGCTAGGAAGTTGCATTTCCCCATCCTTGATACTCTTAGCGAGTAATCCCAGTCTCCTTAAAGATGCACACAGATTTCATTCACCGAGCTCATCAACATATCATTAAAACAAAAAATAACAGTAGCTGAGTAACCAGACTAAGAACTCCATGTATAGATTATATTTCTATTTTAACTTCATCCCCCAGAACTGAAAGCTTGCCCCCTGCTTGGGCTTCCACGTGAAGTACATCTACAACAACATCTGTCTCCAGAAAAGGCTTTGCAGAGAAGACAGATTTTCTGTTCAGTTTCTCACATTTGAAACAAACCACTTTCCCCATCAGCCTGGTCTGTCCGTCTGCCAGCCTTTCTTCAGCCTGGTGTGTACTCTTCCTAGTCCAGGAAAACCACTAATAATGCCCTTTACACAAATACATGACAAATTTTAAATTCAGATGAGATCAGTAAGTTTTCAATTTTCATAAACACAACACAGTAGGTTGGAAAACTAGGACAAATGGCTACAAAAGAGCACAGGAAGGAATTCTTTCAGATAAGCAGCTACAGAAATGCTAGTTATTGATCATTTTAAGAGAAGAGAAGGGATCACACACGGAGAAGTAGGGGCTGGACGGGAAATCTAGTCTCCCTTCTGGGGAAATGTATACAGTAACTGTTACGAACTTTCTAACGAGGCATGTGGGAGGGATGACATCTGCACCTACCAGACTCTGCTTTCCATCCACTGCTGCCAGAGGCAGGGCAGAGAATAAGCAAGATGTCAGTTCTGACCAGCCCCAAAAGGTTTGGGGAGGCAACCCCCTGGCTTGCAACAGCCCATGGAGAGTAATGACAGCTCTGCTACCACTCAAGGAGAGAGAGGGGAATTTGCACACATGAAAAACTATGGACTTTATTTCATTTCCAAAGGAACAACATTGAAGCAGGTAAAAAGAGGTCAAAGTCTATCTTTAAAACACATGGTTAATTCCTCCTTTCTTTTTTTTTTTTAAAAAAAAAAAAGATAAAAGATTGTTTTCTCTCTATTTGATTAGCCAGCAGATAAGTGGATTTGAGAGAGATTAAATCTGCTAAAATGCGGACATCTCATTAACCTATTCCCCTGGCTTCACACGAGTTTCACACTCAACTGTTTATTGTAAGAGCAGAAATATGCAAACTGCACAATGCATGTATAATATATAACTATAAATAACTAGACTATATTGACAAATATTAGTCAAAAACTCATTGACAAGAGGTGCAGCTATGTCTTACCTGTCACCAGCACATGCCTATGGACTTTAAAGAAAAGTTTACTTAAAAATAGACTTCATTTTAATACATTTCCTAAAAAGCAGATGAAGAGGCATTGATACTAGTTAAATAAAACTTCCATTAGTGAGTAACTAAAATCACACTACTAAGATCAGTAGTTACTGTCATTTAATATGAATAAAATAACTACACATACTAAAACCAGCATGTCTTTAGTCCAGAGACTTGCACAGCAGACTAGTTTTATGAACTTAAGTTAACTTAAATCAAAATTATTGGGTCACACATGACTTTGTCACTTCCATAATTGAAAGTTTTTTACAGCCATCTCATAATAAATATATAGCACTTGCTTTGTTTTCCACCTCCAAGCACTTTTCAAACTAAGTATCATTCTCTTTCTCTCAGTGCCTCCCATATTTTGCAGATAAGGGGACTTAAATATGTACCTGACTCATTTGAATATTTTTAATGTGATGAAGATGGAGTTAAGAAGGAAGTCATGTGAGTACTATTAGGAAACCTGGAAAGCATTACTAAGTATTACAGAGCTCCATGGGCAGCATGCCACACTGACACACCCCCCCAAAACCAAACTAGCTCATGTGACAATGAATCACAGCCCAGCATTCAGTATGACTGTCTTTAGCTGGCTCCTCCTTAGTGCAGACTCACTTCAGGCACAAAGTCTTTGAAGAGGTTTGCTGGGATGCTGCATAAGGACATGATATGAAGTTTCTTCAAGCTAGTGAAAGACAATGATTTTTGCCCCATCCAAGGGACCACTAATACTGACTGTTCATGATCAGTAACATGTCCCCCTGGCACAGAACGTAGCATAAGCATATCTGTGCTTATAAGTTCAATATATTGGTACTCCACACTGAAAGTATCCCCCAACATTTTTTTTCCCTGTAAAAGATCTTTAGACATCTCAATGAGTCCAAGAGAGACATAAAACCACAACAACTAAAAAGGCACCTTTCACAGGGCTCCCATAAAGTAGGTGTTGTTTACTCATGCTGCTTTCTACCCCTCTTCCTTCTTTACACCCCAGTAGTTCAAAAGCGCAGTAGTTAGGGCCTGAGCAAAAATGAAAGCATCCTTTGTCCTTATCCCAAAGTAGTTTGAGGTGCTATTAAAAGTCTCGCTCAGAAAACCAACAGTGGCGTGCAGAGGGGTTCAGCTTGGCTCACAACAATTCTTAGGGCAATGTGATTAGCTACTGAGACACCACACCCCCTTGTCCCAAAGTGACCCCCACTTCTGTCAAACCTTCTGTATTCTCCCCTTCTCATGATTCTTGGGAAAGTCTAAAATCAGTAACAAATGATTTTGTGCAGAAGGATGAATGGATAAAACCAGTACCTTTACAAAAATAAAAATCCAAACACACAACTCACTAAATACTGAAGTTTTGAACAGATACTTCCGTAACAATGAAATAAAACCCCAAAATCTGAAAATTCACTTTGGGGTGCAAGCAGGCACACAAAACAAAGGACACCTCTGGAACTGCAGACACGCAAAAATATACAATGGTCTAGGTCAAAATCTGTGAGAAAGCTGCACTGCCCCAGGCACGTGAAACAGGAACTGACCATCTGCACTTCCTACCTGTACCTGTTTGCTCTACCGAAGCAATGACTATCCTCTACTCTCTTTTTGAGCGTTGTGCAAGAACTCAAGAAAGGCCTACCATGTGGTTTTCTGTAGCTTAAAGTATTTTCCATACTTAAAAATAATCCAGGAATCTGTGGTTCCCTTTTCAATTAATCTTCTCTGGCAAAGAAAGACTGGCAATTGTTAAAGGATTTTTTGGTTTTAGATGTGGGAAGTGGTCAAAGACTTTGCTTCTATCAACTGGGGTTGATCTGCCAATTCTCCTGTTTAAAAGAATGGCTTAACAGTTCACTCTTTCTTATATCTCCTTTATATACATATATAGATAGATCTGAATATATATATATAATTATATATAAAAAATATAAAACTGAGCAAAAGCTTCATGTTATGATTTAGGCAAGAGAAAATTACTATTTATAGTGCTATCTATTCTATTACACTAACAGTTAGCAAACAAATACAAAGAGAAGACCCTCTGGTCCTGTAGCTCTGCCTTTTGTGATACCATCTTTATTGTTTTCTCCTTCCCATGCTTTCCCCCTTGAGGAGGCCGCTTTTTCAGGCCTCCCACCTCTGCTGCAGCTGCTGCCTCTTCCCCAGTGGCAGTATTACCTCTGACTGTGACATTCCTGCTTGCCACTGCGCTCTCTTGCCAGACAGGACATACATCTAAACCAGCAGACCCCGACAGTGCTAGGTCAGGAGTCCAGCTCTGGTGCCCACACCAGTTAAGGACCCTGTTGTAGCTGTTACCACAGAAATCCATACCCTTCTTAAAGGAAGGGTGGAGAAAAGGGGAAAGGAAAAAGCTTGTTACCTACCCTGATAGTGTTGTGCCACCCATCTTTATTCCCCTTCACAGATTAAATGCATCACTTATTTAACACCTTTGCAAGAACATCTTAAGAGCACAGACTCATTTTCCAGTTAATTTATATTTTGGTCAAACACATACAGCACACACACATATACCCCAAAAAAACTCCACAACTGAAGCCAAGAC